CACGTGCCAACAGTTATGTCGTCACTACCTCAGTAAGCGTACTGAAAGGTAGGTCTGGCCGGGCCAATGCCAACGGTCAAGTCAAGAGTCCAGGTAATCGCTGTATTCAACAGGAGGTTGAACTAAGGAATACATGGGTTTTCCTACAGTATATATAGTAACTGGTATAGGGGTTAATACCCAAAGAAGAGAACAATAAGAAAGGACGCGTAAGCCATCCTGTGAGAACGTAACTCAGAGAAATGAGAAATACAAAGGCGCCCATTGGTAGAAGGTGAGTCAAGGAAGATAACGTGTGAGAAGAAGATAGCGTCCATGGGAAGGTCTACTCGGAGAAAGGTACTGTCCAATAGCAATGCTCGGAATGGAAATGGAATGAGATAAGCATGGGAAAATCATAACACGGGGAAGAAGGGCCATGTATACCAGCGGAGCTGCTCACTGCGGCGTCGGCGGCGACGACGGCGACGACGGCGCAACAGCGAGCGCATGGCAAGGGCCGGCGTCGAGGTCAGAGGCAAGTTGAACATGTCACGAAGTGACGCAAGTGGGGCTATCATTCCGATCTTCGAACTCCGACCTGTGGGTTCTCACGACTGCTGCTGCGGATTCAACAGACAGAATTCGACCGTTTATCGTATGGAATGCCCAAGTTCGGAATTCCAACTGGTTTCCATACGGCAAGCTATTTCGACCTTATTCGACCACTTTTTGGCCGAAAGTACAAAATTGACCCATTACCGGTCTAATTTAGGCCGGCCTGGCGCGCACAGTGCCGGCTGGACCCCAGCTCAAGCATCAGGTGCAATGAAGAAATATGAGCCTCAACACCTTTACTTCACGCCAGCCGTAGTTTGGATAGCCCGGATAGGGTGCACTGGATGAGGTAAAAGTCCAAGACTCAGGCTTGCTCATTATGTTCTATCCCGGATTCTAGTCTGCCAAATAATTACTGTCAGTTGCCTGAAGACTCGGATTCGCATCAGGATCGGGTGGGTAGGAGTGGCGGATTTTCTCTTAGTTGAGAGTTTCCCTCAGTTCCTCCTAGAATTATTTGGAGTTGGATCTACTTGCCTGCGTCAGCGGTCCATGGTCAGCAAATAATGGCGTATGGCTGTGTCGTATTCCTGCAAGTGGCCACTGGCATGTTGTGTCTCTCTTTAAAGCTATGTGCATTAACTTACAGGAACAGACAGGGACTCGCCAGATTGTGATGTATGTGTCCAAACGCCCTTGCCAGCCCTTGCCGCGTACATCGGACTTCCCGTTGGTAAGTGGCCGGGCGCTAATGTGCTAACCTCCCGTCATAAGGTTTGATTGCAGATCAATTGATAGTCTTTCTTGATAAGAGTCTCCCCAGTTCTCGCCGTGGATTACTGATCAAAGGGAGTACCTGAATCATCCCTGCACCGATAATGCTTGTGGACGCCGGCGAAGTACGGCCTCCGTACAGTGCTCAGGCTACAATGCCGATGGCGAACCTGGTTGTGATGCATAATGAGAGAAGGTTCAATATCCAATCCTGCACAGGTCCTCGCGACGGATGACTGATGGACGGGTGCAGTGAATATTTCAAAGACCCATTAGTCGAAGGCCATCGACGAGGAAGTTCCTCAGCCTACTCACAAAAAAGCTATAAAATGGGGGCGGCAGCTCGAGACAATACCAACAACATCCTTCGGAACAACATCAGTATCAACAACACTCATCGAAATTTCTGCAATGACCACCAAGATCAACGTTTTCATCACCGGCGCGACAGGTAAGCTGCTAGCATTGAAGACTGCAAATTAATTATATAACTAACACGGCCCCCTAGGCTACCTTGGAGGCTCTGTCCTTCAACGCTTACTCGCACATCCCGAAAGGACCTCATTTAGTATCACCGCCCTGGTGCGCAACGTCGAGAAGGCCAAGCTACTTGAGGAATTCTGTGTGAAGACCACGATCGGCTCCTACTCCGACTTGGACAAGTTGGAGGCTGCAGCGTCCACCGCTGACGTCTTTTTCGCCATTGTAAGAATAATCGATGTTGAGAAATGGAGTGCCGATGCTGACCTGCTCTCGACCATAGGCCAACTGTGATGACCTCCCCGCTGCGAAGGCTATTCTCCAAGGTCTGAAGAAAAGACACGCGGAGACCGGGAAGCAACCCATCCTAATTCATACTGTTAGTACAATTCCGCGCACTCTCTGTGAACATCCCTCCCTGACTCGACGTCCTTGATTAGTCAGGATCAGGTATGAGACCTGGGGTTTCGTCGAACGGGGAGTGTCACTGACATACCGATTATAGCCATTATAATTGACAACGCACAGGGCAAATACGCCAGTGACAACGCTTACTCCGACATGGACATACCCAGGATCGAAGCTCTGGATCCCGCGCAACCGCACAGAAACGTCGACATCGCCATCGTAGAAGCCAGCAAGGAAGGTTCGTACCCGCTCCTTCTCTCCTCCAGTTCTTCATCTTACGAGCTCCTACAGGATACGCGCGGACGCATATCGTCGTCCCGCCCACCATCTTTGGGCGCGCCTCCGGGCCTCTGTTCGAGAAGGGCATCTGCAACCCGGGCTCGATCCAGATCCCCTCCCTCATCCAGGTAGCGTGGCACCGCAAGGCCAGCGGGCTGATGGGCGAGGGAAAGAATCTCTGGTCACTCGTCTCCGTCGACGATGGTGAGTCACCGCATAAGTCTCCGCTACGCGACATCTGCAGCTAAGAGCCCCCTCCGTCAGTCGCGGACTTGTACATCGTCCTGTTTGACGCGGCGCGCAAGGACGAGAAGACCGCGCACGGCCGCGAGGGCTTCTACTTTGCGGAGAACGGGTACTACCAGTTCTACGAAGCCGCCAAGGCTATCAGTGATGCCCTCGTCCAGCTGGGCCGTACCGACAAGGCCGAGCCTACGCCCTGGACCCAGGAGCAACTGGGCAAATACTTTGCGGGGGTACGTCCCCAAATCATAGTGTGCCATTCCACCTCTGACGGAACGAAACAGGCGCCAATATTCGGCACCAACTCTCTGTGCAAGGCCGATCGCGCCCGTGCGCTGGGGTGGAAGCCGACGAAGACGAAGAAGGACTTCTTGGACAGCATCAAGCCCGAGGCGGAGGCGCTCATCAAGGAGGGACGTATCGACGATGCGTTCTGGTTCAAGACCGTATTCCTTGGAGTACCCAACTAGGGTGGTTGCTCGGTGAGGATATGACAGTATGGCACGTGCAGCCTTCATAGTGTACATATAAACGCATCGGATCATGTATCGCAAACTTACTATCAGAATCTATCTCCAGACCCGAAATTGAATTGAGCATATAGTAAAGCAGACGACACTGAGGACTCTGCGCGTCAAATCAGACCGCATCTGCAGGGCGTCAGTGTATGCGCCAAAGAACAAAACGCACATACTCACCATTCAGAACCAACTGCATACGAGGTGAAGCATGGGAAGGAATAGCTGACACCTAAAGGCGAAGAGGCACACGAATGAGAACTGATAACACTTAGGAGTCGAAAAGCCATTGTCGCGCAACGCATGGAGTGCAAGACATTCAATTGTTACAATTTCTATCATACACACCCCAATAAATACATCCCTCCTCTATGCCTGTGCATACTTGACGGCCGACGCACTCCCCGTAGGCACAGCAGCGCTCAGACTTGCCATCACACTCCTCAGGCTATCCACGCCCGAGGGCTTCAGCAGCGGCGGGAGGTCATTCGGGAGGATAGCGTTCGCGTTTGCCTGCGCGACATTAGACTGCGATGGGGTGGCAGGCGCCGAGGGGGAGACGGGTGGGGGGACAGGCATCGATGATGGGGTCGGCGAGCCAGAGGGAACATCGCGGGGGAAGTTGACGTTCGTCGTCATGGACGCGGGCAGCGTGGGCTTCGTGACGGGGAGCGAGGCAGATGGTGAGATTGGCACTGCAGGAGGTTGGATGGGAGCGACGGGAGGCTTGACGGGAAGGGGGCCGGGGGCGGTTATTGGCCTGGGCACCTCTGCGGCGTCCGTGGATACCTCGCCTTGTGCAGTCACTGATAGGGAAGGCGCAGACATGGATGCGAAGGGCGCTGATATCGGCAGCGAAGGTATCGGGAGAGATACGGGGAGATTGGGAAGGCCGCGAGGGAGGTTAGAGGGAACGGCGACCGGAAGAGAGGGTGCGGACACAGGTGGAGAGGGAATGGAGACAGGGAAAGAGATAGGAAGCGCCGGGGGAACGATAGGAAACGGAGGCATTGCGATGCTGGGAACCGGCACGGGGAGGTCGCGGGGCACCATCGACGGCGCAGACGAGAGCACGCTCGTCGGGACCGCCGCTGGAAGGGAGACGGGCAGGGAAGGGCTCGGCATGCCGGAGGCAGGCAGCGAGATTGGAAGGGCCGGTACATCACTGGCTACAGGCAGCACGATGTTGTCAACCACGAGTATCGATGGCAGCGCGGGAGCAGCGACGCCAGAGGGAGTGGGTGCGCTGACGGGCAGCGAAGGCGAGGGTGTAATGGGGAGAGCGACAGGCATGCTTAGTGTTGGGAGGGAATCGGCTGTCATGGAAGAAGTGCTGGTGGACGGCGAAGCAGGGGCGCTGGATGAACCCTGGAATGGGAGGGAGGGTGTGTCGATTGATGCCTCGATCACCATATTGACCGGCACACCCGTAGGCTTCCCGCTCTCCGCCGCACTGGCAGCAGACGTGCGCGCGGCGTCCCCGAGGCTCGCAACAGCGCTGCTCACGGCGTCCTGGATCTGGACGATTTCGTAGGTAGTGAGGACGCGTCGGCTCGTCGCCGGCGGGACCTTGCGGTGGCACATGTGTACCGCGTCGACGAGGGGCACGAGTGCGCTGCCGACGATCGGCAGGTTGGTGAGGATGTCACCGGCCCTGCACGGGTCGGTGTTGGTGGAGACCGCGTTGACGGCTGCGTTGTCCGGGAGGGGGCTGGCCGCGTTATCGGGGGAGCAGAGGCCGAGGGCGCCGGTCATGGACCCGATGTTGGGCCCGATGAAAGGTAAGCCGTTTACTGAGTTGTGGAGCTGGCAGCCTTGGGGTACATCGACTCGACGAGCTGTGAGAGCAGTATGTCAGCACGCTGTAGCAAGGGATGCATACATCGACGAGAACTTACTTAGAGTGTTGGAGGAGGAACCAGCCTCCTTCGATGCCGACTGACTGTGAGTGTTAGACTTTGAAGACTCGCCGACCGGGGCGGCGAGAGTGGAAGAAGAAGAGAGAGCAAGGGAAGCGAGGAAGAGCGAAGAGCCAGATACAATTCTCATCTTCATTTTGTGGAAGGGTGGAGAGTCTCGTCGTGATCAAGAGAAGCGCTAGGGTGTATAGCGGCTTGCGAAGGACTTGTAGTAGTTCTCGTCAAGAGAGCACTAGGAGTACACGTCGGTCGAAGGCGAAGTGGGTTTTGGTGGTCAAGTTGTGAGGACGCCTGTTCTCAAATCGCGAGGGCCTTTATAGCTTTCGAGGCCTCCCATCGGTTAATGACGACTTGTCCGTCAGGCGGCCAGCGGCCAGCGGATTATGAGCGAGTTCCCGCCAATGCCTATGCGGGGCGCTGATGGCCCGACAGACACGTCGAAGGCGTCGACGGACCTGAAGAGCCATCATCGGTCCACAGAGGCATCTGCGCGCCAGAAGGGCCGTCGACGGTCCGCATCGTAATCCTTTCCGAGACATCCAGGAAAACAAAAAGTCGATGAGATCCGCAGAGTGCAGACTCAGTCCATCTAGAGACTCGTGCTCAGGCTCAAGACTTGCGCCCTCGATGAGACAGGCCGGCAGCACTTGACAATTAAGGAGACCGGAGCCTCTGAGGAAAAAATAAGAGCTTTCATGCGACGAAAAGACTGGCGAAAGCTGCAAAGGTTGTCTCAGGATGGCGGTTGTCTGAGACGAGGCGGGATGTGACCAGTGACCCGACACCCGTCGGGATGTGACTGTCACTTTGGGGGTCCAGCATGTCCATCTCGTTGGGCAGCATTCCCTGCCCAGTAACGATGCTGCCAGCCGTCGGGACTCAGAAGGGCCAGCGATTCGTTTTATAACCGATGAAGCGGCAATATTGTCCACAGACCAGCAATCGCAGGATAGCATAGAGTACTAATAGTAACATCATAGCGACCATGACTGAGAAGCAACTTCGAAAATCCGGCATACAGAGAACATCCATAATGACCGGTACCATGGCTCAAAGAAATTCACCTCTCCCCACCAGCGGCTATGGTTCTCCGCTCATGCATTACCGATGTCCATGTCAGGCTGGACTGCACGCCCACTGCGATGGCCCTCCACAAAAGGCGCGCTCGGCTGCCCACTAGTACTGGCACGCGCAATCGGCGAGACCGGACCCCCCACGTCCACAGACATCCCTTCAGGCACCCACCCATACGCATGGTGCGGCGGCGCCATCCCCGCGCCCGCGCTCATCGCCGTCATATTGAGCCCGAGCATCTGCGCCATCGTATGGCTGTGCAGCGGGTCCGCGACGTAGCCCTGCCTGTACGGATCAGCTCCGGGGGAGACCCGGCGGTGGTCGAGGAAGCGCTGTTTAACCTCCTTCAGGAGCGCGTTGGCGATCTCCGCGGAGGGCCACCACGCCTCCATGGATTGCAGTGCGATGAGGCATTGGGCGAGGCCGCGGGAGGCGACTTCATCCATTGGACGTAGACCGACTGCTCATTCACGCATCAGTATATGTGGTGTCAATCGGGCAGGAGGCACTCACGCAGTAGAACATGTGTCACGCTTATGAGGACGAGTATCATTTTCAACGTGGCGCCTTTTACGAGTATATAATCCACGTACCCTGCGCTCAGAATATGCGAAGTGAGGAAAGGGGGATTGAATCTCAACCCGGTGACCTCTCGATGGACATCCACTATATAAGCTACGTTAGGAGTATCATCGACTGACGAAACGCAATGCGTACCGATATAGCTAATCTTGGCAGCTGCTGTCTGACATCTCTCGAGGTGCCGGATCATATCTTGAGTCGGGGCTTGTCGGTGCAAAGCAACTTCGCCACTACACTTTCTATGAGCCTCCTATTCAATGGGGTAATACACCGACATACCGTAACTCCTTGGGCAGACTGTAGAAGAACCACATCAGCCACTATTACCCCAATCTCATGGAATACAATATGCTCACATAGCACGATGCAGGATCATCACAGCATACCAGTACTCGATATGCAGCATAATAACATGTGGAGGCGCTGTCGCCAGCTGTGCCGACGCGTGATACAGCAAACTCGCCGGCAACGAGGTGTACCAACCCGTCAGCCGCGCGTCCAGGACCTGGATAGTGCCAAGCGGGTTCGGCGTGATGCTCTTGGTGGCGTACAGCTCCCTCACGATGTCCGCGATGATTGCAGCTGCAGCATCAGCACGATCAGACGGCACGACAGCGACAGACGGTAGTCGAGTGGATGGAACATACATAGAGACGCAGTGGCGCGGAAACACTCCGCAACACCTTGCGCGGTAGGCATACTCGAAGGAGGAGCTGGGTGGTCGCCCATTGCCTGGGACAGCGCCGCCTCCTCGTCCTATGAAAACCAACCACAGTGAATGATCTCGTCCATTCGAAACAACAGGGTAACGTACCTCGACCATAGTGGGCAACGCGACATCATGATCACTCTCCTGTATCTGGATAGGCCGGCCTTTTGCGCAATTAAAACGTTTCGACCTCATCAGACGCTCCTCATACCCAAAAACACGCTCAGGCGTCTACAATCATGTCAGCACCTCCAACCACGCAATATTGAAGAACGGGAACGTACCTGTCGACAATGCAGCACGCCCACCAAGTGACCCTCCTGCTCTGTTTCTCCTCCTCCGAGAACAGCTCCTCGCCATGGACACGCCACTTCGCGGGGTCGCGGTGCAAGCCAAGGGCGTACGCCTGTATGCCAAACATGCATCTAGCGTGATTGAAGACCCAAAGGGATCCCGAGAAAGACTTACCATCCGGATGGCATTTCCTACAATAATATTCGGTCGGTCACATGGGTCAGTGTTGTGGTGGCTGCAACGACAGACCACTAAATATGTACGCCTGCTCGGAAGATCCTTCTGATGCGAACGTCAGTAGAAGAACAAGGAAAAACGCTACCTACGATTACCTATCACGAATTCTCCGACGCTCATAAGTATGAGAGCTTGGCAGAACCACGGATGACTGTGTTTGAGGCTTGCCACTACGTCCATGTCAACAAATGTAGATGTACGACTAGACAACTTGGACAAACGTTGGATTTGCCGGGCTGCTTGGGCAAAGCCGCGGCCTCGCGAGGGATCTTCGACCGGAGGACTGGCCTGCATTGCCGCATTGTACCGTTCAGCAAGTGCGAAGACGGCAAACAGGAGACTCTTCCATGGACTTTGCGTCTCCGGCGGCGGCGTCCCACTAAAAACAGAATGTTGAGAGACAAACCAGGAACCTGTCCGATTTACACACCCTTGGAGGCTATCATAGAAAGTCAACATTACGATCTGACAACGTATAGGGCGCAAGACGCACCTATTTCTGAATTCCTGCATAAACTGCCGCTTGCTGATCAAGGGAAAGATAGGGTGCACATGAGTGAAGTACACGGTCACAAGGTGTTCCTGTTCTTCGCCGGAAGGCAGTTGAAATCGAACGTCATCTGCCCTTGCATCGTCCTCGGACACTGCACAACGAGTCCCAGCCGAAGGCAGTTGCCTGGCACAGAATAAGCAACGGAAATGGGAGACGGGGCAAGAATACGTACCAGATGCCACTTCGCCCGTCTGAACCCTGTTCGCTACCAACAACAGACAGGTCACTGGTCCTTCCATGGTAGCGAAGCTAATGAAAATGCTCATAAGCCCAATCAGGAGAGTACCACCACGTAATGTACCTGTTGATTCTCGTCAACCGACAGGTATCCGAACGCGTCGACTGTCTCTGAGATGGTAGAGGGGCTGAACAGGCGGTCTACGTCAAACAACCATTAGTACTGCGGCGCAGGATAAAGTAGGGACATCGACATACCATGCGCAGGTTCCGTCGAGTACAAGGGGCTCATACTGAGCATCGGCAGCGCGCTGTGACTCGCAGCCGCGGGCACGTCACCGGGATAACCGTAGTCCTGTGTATTTATTTGCACATTGGGGGGAGCGGGGTATTGAGGAAACGCGAGATAGGCAGAAAGACGATCTTGCCACCTACCCAGGTCTTGAAACGACATCGGCGGGGCTAATAATGGGCCCAACAATGTTCAAAGCGGGACGCGACGCAGCAGAGTAACGGCCTGCTAACTCTGGCTGGAAACTTCCTCGCGGGTCGCGCGCGAATGCCGGCTGGGCACACGCCCGGCGCCGTAGGCGGAGAGCGAGTCTTCGTGTTGTGCAAGGTAGCTGAGCACCTCGTTCATCGTAGCGCGTTCGGTCAGAGCCGCGCGGCCTGAGGCACCCTAAATGACATCAATTAGATCTGATTGCGCAGTGACAGGTAATCAGCCCGTACCAGAGGGCCGACATTCACGTCTTGTAAGACCTCGCGGGCGAGCGGATCTTCCTGCAGCAGGCCAACTACGGCTCGAGCGGCAGGATGGGGAGAGGACATCAAGACGGCTAGGATTGATTCCGAGCGGTACCATCTCTGTTCGAGCGCTTGAATGTAGCCCTTTGGCGGTCCGCGCTTGAAAATAGGGCCTTGACAGAGGATGGATGGCTGAACCTCGGAATTTGCATAATAGCACGTACCTGAAACCACGCACTCTAAACAGAGTTTTAGTACAGCTCGCTATGAGCATTACCAGCAATTTATTTACCAGTTCCTGTTGCCGAGCAGGCCATGCAAGGACGCTCTTCCGAAGACCTCTCGCATCGAATCTTGCTCCTGCGACAAAGGTCGCATGCTCAAAGGGTATAAGAAAAATAGACTGCTGCAGGTGGGTTACACACACCTCGTACACCTCGTTTCTTAGAGCTCGTGCTTGATATTTCCGAACCGGCTGATTCAGGCGTTGAGGTAGACCCAGACATGACCGTAGAGTTTGTGGAATCTTGTGTATCCCCCGCCATTACAGCGTCACCATATATAGGCATGCTACGACACGTCACACAACGTCACGGCGCTTTGAGTTGGACCGGATTGATTTGGTACCGGTTCATCTGTGGAGCGGATTACAATGCTTTGTACCGCCTCTGACTCCACATTCACCGCCTTTCACCGCAAACCCTATAGTGATGCAGAGGTGACTATTTGTCTGACATAGTGGTAAAAGACGAAACCATGAATCATCGACATCAATTGCAATTGTCAGGTCGTGCGCTGCGGGGGGTGTCGAGGTTACAGCAATGTGCTTACCGAATAATAGCTCTTGGCAGTAGGGACGTTGATAGTTGGAGATCCTGAATGTTCCCTGAATGTGCCGTTTGTAACTTTGCATTGAAGGGCAGATCGGACGTTGGAATACAGTACGTCCAGCGAGTTCGATCGTCTGACTTTCAGGGCCGAGTCTGCTTCCCGGACGGAATCATTCATCCAACTTTGGAACAACCGACATTCCTCCGCTTTGGTGGCGCTTCTGTCGTCTGTCATATGAGTCTGCTGGAAAGTAGGAAGATGGAGAGAAGGAGGTTGATCCACCACAACCAGAACATATAAGTTACTGGGAAGTTTGGGCACCGACACGTTTGGCGTGATTGACTTGGACATCGTTTCCAGTACTGTAGGATGTGATACGGCTGATATTCTCTTCCTTTCGAGTTTTCCGCATGAGTCCCCTTCCGCTTCCGGGCGACGCTCTTGAAGTCCGTGAATAATGACTAGTCGGAATACTGACAAGGTCACTCTCGGACATTGCCGACAAGTGAAGTCCGAGTCGTGACTCAGATGTCTTGCGCATCCTCGGTGATGACAAGGAGGGGGCCAAGGCATTTGAGCGCTGAGCACGTTGGGCGGGAGGGCGGATCAAGCACAAATGTCCACACGAAGTATTTACTTGATACCAGTCTGTGCTGGGACAACACTGTGCAACTGTCCGTAGACTGTGCGCGTACAGTCCCGGCACATGTCCCTTCCCAGCGACCTCACCACAACATTTATTTCTTTTCAATCCAATTATGGTGCCGAGGGCATTCCCCTTATGTTGGACCTTACATGTAACATGCTACAATCAATGCTGCAGGACGTGGAAGTGAGACTGAAACAATGCGTATCACCACAACATACCAAAAATGGCGGACGGTTTACTCGATATAGAAATGTCGAGCGTCGCAGGTGGCTACGCTACCGGAGCGCGATTCGCTCCATCAATAATCGTGGTTAGCTGTTTTATAATAGCTACTACCTTAATTACCACTGACGGTTCAAGCTGGCAATCAATCACCATAGCTCGGGTTTCCACTCATTGGCAAGGGCTCCTCGGGCAGTCTGCAGTAGGACCGTCTTCCCGTGATCGCAACAAAGACACATTTGCTGATGGTCAGTGCCAACGCACTGGAATGCTAGCTTCTTCGCTAGCTATTACTTACCTCTACGCCCACAGTCCCTGCATAAATGGTGATATATGCAACGGCCCATGCATACATGGGGTCTCTATCAGGTTCCCACTGAACCGCCGCAATGATCATAATGATACCGTCTCTCGTGGACAGTGACCTCGAAGCGGGCTAGCCTGTCTCCGTAACTCTCAATACCCAAGGATGAGCGCTAATGCCAGCGTATAAAAACCAGTAATACCCCCTTTCGCCTTCTCACCGCCCACCGTTCCCTTTTTTTTCTCCTCAGTTATGCATTTCAGTTCATTTCCTTTCTTTCTGTACATATGTTCCGCCTTCGCCCAAGGTCCCATGACACCCATCGAAGGCGACGCGTTAGTCGCGGGCCTGAAAGATTCGAAGTTCAACGACATGGCGAGCCTGCTGGGTCAGATCCCCGCCTCCGACTTGACTGGCTTCCTGAGTCTCCTTACGGGGAATGTTACGCTTCTTCTTCCAAGGTTCGTCTTTTATCCGTTTGACGCTTACAGGCTTCACTAACGATTGCCCGATAGTTCCAGTAAGCCGTCCCTGCCGAATGAAGCCGTCATGGTGTACTAACACTCCATACAGTACCCAACGGGACTGTGTCCAGTTTACTAGCCGATACGAGAAAGGTCCTTCCGTTGCTGTCCTACCACGTTGTCACCGACACCATCAGCAACACCATCATTGCCTCGTCACCCAGCCATACCATCGTCAACACCGCACTGAACGCCTGCCGCAGGATAGCTACAATAGCCCCCTGACGCCAGGGAAGCTTGTAGTTCACACGTCCTTCCTGAATCGAAAGGGTAAGCACCAGAAGACGGAGAAGTGGGACAACATACCCGGTGATCTCCCTCAAAGATGTACCGCTGAGCCTGCAGGAGATTTTTGACGTATGTGGCACTATCTTGCCTGAGCCCGTAGTGTCCGACACAATGTCCGGACGCAATACTCTTGACGTCACGGCGTATGGTACTGATCCGGCCGTCAGCCTGTCGGAAATACCGTTAGTACTGTAAGATGGAATGACAGTTACGCACAATATCAGCAACGGCTTTACGAAACTCTACTTGTGTCTTGTCCCGCAGGAGGTCCAGTATTGGCTTGTAGTGAGGCCCTAAGTCCTCAGCTGCACTTGCACAGGCGTCGAGTGCTACTTCATTCCGTTTGCCGGAATCGGGGTAGGCGTGCTTCGTGAAAATTTGAACGTGTATGTAGTCAATGCCTCTGCGCGCAACGGCCTGGATCTCCTGTGTCTGCGATGTAAGATTGAGCTTACCACGCTCATTGTAAATCAGCACTGTCATGTCATATGAATTGTCGGCGTCATCCGAGGCGACCAGGATAATGTCATCGTCATCACGGGCTCCAGGGCGATGAGTAACCGCCTTAAGGCCCTTACGATGAGCCCGCCTTAACTTCTTCTGGTCAACGTCTTCATGATGTCGAGGCCAGATGGGTGCCTCAATGCTGGGATGAGAATATTGGGGGAGTTACTATGTAACAAGATTGGCGCACCTCCTGCTCGTGATCCTGCTCACGCTTTGACTTCACTTTCTTGTGGAGCTTACCCTCGACCGTGTATGCTGTCTGACTAGATAGCGCGGAACTTGAATTCTTGTCTCCGCCCTTCAGAACATGACTTTCGGAATTAGGGAGTGGAATGCGGGAGGTCTGAAGGACTTACCTTGGTAATGACGCCTTTGGCCTTCTGACGGCCCTCCCCGATAACATGGTCGTCGTCCTCAAAGAGATCAATCGCCTTGGGAGCCCCATGGACCAGTGCCTTACCCGAACCCACGCTATCATACGTTCGAATTGAATGAGCGGAAGATTTAGTCGAATGCATCGAGGAGCGTCGGGGTGCCGATGGAGCCTCATCGTCAGAGTCTTCAACATCCGGAATGCTGACAGTGCTTGAGTTAAAAGACGAGGCGCTTGACTTACGCCGCATCTTCGGCGGTGCGTGCAAGACTATGTCGTAGTCATCGTCGCTGGGGTATTCGGCGGCATCGTTGAATGACGGAGCCTAGACCCAGCGTCGTCTAATCGGTGGCATGACCATCTGATGATTGTTACTCACCTCATACTCGAGGGCATCCGCAAGCGGACCTGCAGGCATCCGCATAAGGCGCTCGTCATCAGACTCTATCATCTCTGCCTCCTGCTCAGCATAGTCCTCCCCATTGCTGTTGCTGTCATCCGCGTTGGACGGGGTATTTGACTCTTCTGAATCAGATGTGATGACCGCCGGTTTGTAAGCTGTCAGTAAATAAGTCACACAATGAACGTGTAAGTCATTACTATCGCTCACAGCGGGTCCGTGCAGCCGCTGCATCGGTCTCAGGCTTGTCCAACGTATGATCATCTGTACTATAGTATAAATAGGAACGACGGGGGACTGGGCGGACCATCGTTACCTTTCTTGGTCTTTTTGGTCCGGTTTGTTGTTGCGGGTGCCATCACAGACCCCGCACGTTTCCGACCCGGGGCTTGGGAAGGTTGTTTCTTCTGTACCCATACTACGACCAATGTTCACATCAGTGTCTGGAAGACAGGTCCGCATTGCTAGAGAACGCGCATACCACGATTTTCCGCAGCCTTTCTCTTAGCATCACGAGGAACTAGAGGGATATTAGTGAGTTTGCTGCCGGTCCATCTGTCTCTGAGTGAACAGATTAGACTTACCAGTCGGCTTGTTCAGTTCTTTTGCATCTTGTTCTTCTTGACGCTTGCGGTTGATGGCTCTGGTCTGGGCCGCCTTCTGACTGGGAGTCAGACCAGAGCTGCTCGATTTTCCTGATGTGTGTTTTGACATTCCACCGGTCACAGTTAGCAGAACATGGGTACGTCGAGGATTGCCCTCCCTGCAGCCAGGGAGATGGAGAGGATGGAGAGGCGAAAATTTCGGGTGGCGTTACATTGGCCTGCTGAGTCAGGGCGTAGAGTCCCGCGTGTCGCAGCTCATCCTGCCGACTGGGCAGCGGCTGGTGCCGCAACGCTCGACACGTGATGTTTGTCGCGTTGCGAACTCGCGCTGTTAGTTGTATTGGTACGCTTTTCATTATTGGACTATGGTCGTCTGCTCTGGTTGCAGCATATCATTCACACTTGCTGGGTACACCCATCATCTGCAACGCACACGCAACCCCGTTTGTCAGGCCATATACGAACAAAATCAGTCATATGTCCCCACACCTCATAATACCAATCGACCGGACCACCAGGATAAGAAGAATGTCACGCCCGCGGACGATGCAGGGCTGCCGAGGTTCGCGGGAGACTTCTTTGGCGCTCACTACAGTGCCCAGGACTTTCCTGCGGAGGTGGATATGGACGTGGATGATGGAGCAATAGACCAGGATCACGGCTTGCCCGACTCGGAGGAATCTGGAGATGATCAGGCAGAGTCAGACGAGTCAGAAGAAGATGACATTGACCATGAAATAAGGTGGGAACCCGAGGTACCTGCCTGTCCACGCCCAGATGCCGATGACTGGGATGAAGCGGATACCGACTCTGCTGCATCTGACCCCGGGGATTCTACAGAACGAGTGGGGAGAGCCAATGCCGAGGAGACCCTCCGCAAGCAGCCGATCGTTGAGAAGTTCCGATATGGTGATGCTGGCGCACCTATACAAGACGCTGAGGTAGCAGTGAACTCGTATAGTCAGTATATGCATGCAATGGCCGGTTCCTCAGCCAGTTTTTGGGCACCTTTTGCCTCGAAGCTTGATTGGGAGTTGGCGCGATGGGCAAAACTGAGAGGACCGAGTTCAACAGCTCTGACGGAGTTGTTGCAAATCGAAGGAGTGAGACTTACTCTAAAGATTGCGCAGGTGTCATTTCTGAATGCTCTTCTAGATCCGAGAGACGTTGGGGTTATCCTATAAGGATTCTGACTCCTTGAATAAAATAGTTGACAGTTTACCTGGTCGCCCAAAGTTCAAACGAGAGGAAGTAGTCGTCGCCGGAGAAGCATTTGAAATCTATCACCGTGATGTATTAGAGTGCATACGCGCTCTGTATGGTGATCCGGAGTTCGCTGCGGACCTAATTTTTGCGCCGGAGCGACATTACGCTGATGTGGACAAGACGGTACGAATGTATTCAGATATGCACACGGGAAAGTGGTGGTGGGCCACGCAGGTGAGCGGTGGACCGCACTTCTACCCACGTATTTTGGGGTATCTAATATCAGACGATTCTCCTTCACTCATGACAGAAAGAGCTTGAACATAAACAACCTGGAGGAACTATCGTGCCGGTCATCATATCGTCCGACAAGACACAGGTTACTCTCTTTGGGAACAAGTCTGCGTATCCGGTGTACATGACAATAGGAAATCTACCAAAGGAAATACGGCGGAAGCCGTCGCGCGGCGGTCATGTACTTCTCGGCTATCTTCCGACGACCCGTCTCAGTCACATTACCAATCGTGCAGCCCGCCGTCGGACCCTTGCGAACCTCTTCCACTCATGTGTTCGTCGAATCCTGCATCCATTAAAGAAGGCTGGTGAGACAGGTCTCATTATGGCGAGCGGTGATGGAGTGCACCGACGAGTGCATCCATTGTTTGCAACCTTTGTTGGGGACTACCCAGAGCAGGTTCTTGTGACAGGGGTCAAAACGGGCCAGTGCCCAAGATGTCCCGTCCCACATGATGAGCTGGGGGAATGCGACCCCGATAATCCTTATGCATTTCGGGACATGGATGTTGTGCTCGATGCCCTCGGACATATTACGGAGGGACCTACAGCATTCGTGAAGGCGTGCGCCGAGGCAGGGATTAAGCCGATTCAACATCCCTTCTGGGAAGATCTCCCCTACGTGAATATTTTCCAATCCATCACGCCTGACATCTTGCATCAACTCTACCAGGGCGTGATGAAACATTTCATATCATGGGTCACGAAGATGTGTGGTGCCGCGGAGATCGACGCCCGCTGTCGCCGTTTCCCCCCAAATCACCACGTCCGGCTGTTCATGAAGGGTATCAGTACACTTTCGAAGGTCACCGGCCGGGAGCATGCGCAGATGTGTCAACTACTGCTTGGCCTTGTCATTGATATTCGCCTCCCCGATCGTCTGTCGTCTATTCGCCTTGTACGCGCCACCCGCGCTCTCTTGGATTTCTGCTATCTTGCACAGTATCCGGTTCACACTGACGAGAGCCTCAGAATCCTCGAAGGTGCACTACAGCGATTTCACGAGAACAAAGTTGTATTTGTGGACCTTGGTATCCGAAATGATTTCAATATCCCAAAATTACACGCATTACTCCACTACCTCGCTTCCATCAAGATCTTTGGGACTACGGACAATTACAACACAGAATACACTGAACGCCTGCACATCGACTACGCGAAAGATGCATACCGTGCTACAAACCATAAGGACGAGTATCCTCAAATGACAAGATGGCTAGAGCGACGGGAGAAAGTTTTACGCCATGAGAAGTACATCCTCTGGCGTATGGCGGGTTGTCCAGCGCCAGCTGCGAAGGCAGAAGATGTCGGACTGCACGACCATCTTCGCATGGCACGTCATCCAACCCTGAAAGCCGTCTCGTTACCTACTGTTCGCTCTGAATATGGTGCAGAGTTCTTTAATGCTGCTCTCGCTAGATTTGTTGTGCAGTATCACAATCCTCAACTTTCTCGGGCACAACTCGAGGATGCGGCGGCAAGTCTGACCATCCGCTTCCAAACCATCCCCGTCTATCACAAGATCAAGTTCTGGAACACAGACCCCTTCGGGCGCAAGTCGCTACTAGATTCAGCGGATGCTGTACATGTACGACCGGCACGTCAGGATTCACGCGACCGTGCAGTTCCGCCTCGGTTCGACACGGTACTTGTAAATATGGGGAGCGGGACTATTGGCTTGCAAGGTGAGTCAGGTATTCATAACTATCTTAAGGGGACCATATTGAGTCGCATTCAGGCTATCGCGTTGCTCAGGTCCGCGTTGTGTTCTCCATACCGCCTCGAGCAGTTGCAACTTTATTCAAGCGGCCGCCGCCAGGCCACCTAGCATATGTTGAGTGGTTTACAGCATTTTCAATGACTCCGGATGCAAATTCAGGTATGTATAAGGTCTCACGTTCTATACAGAATGGGGAGCGTTTAGCCAGTGTCATTCCGGTCTGTCAGATCGAGCGCAGTGTACATCTCTTCCCAAAGTGGGGTCCCGTGGCTCCTCGGGAGTGGTCAAGTAGTACCGTCTTGGATTCAGCTCCTGCCTTCTTTGTTAATCCTTTCTTAGACAGACATACCTTTGTCACACTGTTGTAGCTTACTTACATGGCACAGATATACTATG